TCTATTCTATTCTATTCCTATTCCTATTCCTATTCCTATTCCTATTCTTATTCTAATTTACAACCAATATATTCCATCAATTTAAAAACAGAAAAAGTAGCCAGATGCCAATGTGTGTTTATTATATAAGCAGAACAGTAGGGTATAAATGTAGACAATATTCCACACAGACAAATACACAATCTCAATAAAAGATAGTGCATCAATTATACACACACACAATGCACACACACACACACACACACATATAGACACAGACACAGACACAGACACAGACATATATACCATTGATTAAGTTATAAACCAAGTGGCATATCAAATTCAATATATATGCTGCTGGAAGACTTGGGGGGGAACCTGGATTAGAGACCGAATATCTATGCAGTTGCACATAATCAGTTAGGGAGATAATGAAATACAGACTTGATTAATTGAATATATATCATTTGAATGGATATATTTAAGAACCCAGTCTGGGCAGCTTGTCGATCCATCATATTTCCATCCTGCCGTATGTCGCAAGGACTCGTGGCTGTGATATTTGCACTGCGTTGCTCGGGTTGAGCAGCATAGAAACACCCACCCCACCCCAAACAAAAGATAATTTTGCTGTATCCAAATCAAATCAGCCCCCCCCCCCGCCGCCCTCCAGTGTTGAAGGAAAATTGCACCAGGATGGAGCCAAACCATTCTGTATGCAAAGGGTGTGAAGAAGGAAAGCATCCAGATGCTGCTTTAGTTTGGCTGGGTTCCAATCATGTAACATCATTCAGAGCTTCTGCTCTTGACAGATGCAGTATATCTTAATCTGGGTTATTGTACTTTAGTGTTCAGAAGAGAGCAATGGGGAAATTGAATGTTCATTGTTGCTGATCTAAAATAAAATCTCCAGGACCAGAGGCAAATTCCTATCAGTGACAAGCAGGGAGGTAAATATTTTTGGGAGCAAGTTAGCAAGGGGAAAAAAAACCCTCAAGCAAACAGTAACTATGGTTGAGCTGCTATGGATCATTTTCCCTTTCTCCTCCTCCTCCTCCTCATCTTCTCCTCCTCCTTCTCCTTCTCCTTCTCCTCCTCCTCCTCCTTCTTCTTCTTCCTCCTCCTCCTCCTCCCCCTCTTCCTCCTCCTCATCTTCTCCTTCTCCTTTTCCTTCTCCTTCTCCTTCTCCTCCTCCTCCTCCTCCTCCTTCTCCTTCTTCTTCCTCCTCCTCCCCCTCTTCCTCCTCCTCCTCCTCCTCCTCCTCCTTCTTTTTCTCCTTCTTCTTTTGATGATTTATAGTCCAGATTTTTTTTGCTTTTGCTACAAGAAAAGGAAAAAAAAAAAACAACAACCCACAACCCACTCATGGTTGCAGGCATTGCTAAAGCGAAGATCAAAATCTCCCTTTGGTGAGAAGGAAAAATACAACCAGCTTCATAATTGGTTTGATTGTTACTACAAATCACGATATCACGGGACAAAAGGAACCTGGCTTCATACTGGGGAATTTAAGTGGCCCAAGCCTTGAAAAGTGTGTTTTGATCAGGATTTTAGAGTAGTTTACTAAGGCATAGACAATGACATGGACTGGATTTGAGGCCTAGATTTGCAGATGAGTTCATGATTTGTTGACGTTGTGTGATGGCCAGTCAACCTTTTGAAGTGTCTCTGACAACTGCTTGATTGTGGATCTTTTTTGGGTGTCCAAGATGGCAAGAGAGACGGAGGAGCAGGAGTGGGGAACTGGAGAAATAGAAGAGGAATGGTTAAGGAAAAGAATGAGAAGAGGAGGGAAGGAGAAGGAGGAGGAAGAGAGGGATGGAAAAGTACAAGAGGGATGGATAAGGAAAAAGAGGAGGAGGAGAGGGGTGGAGAAGAAGATGGGTGGAGGAAGAGGAGGAGGAAGATTAGGAAAGGGAAGAGGAAAGGGAAGTTGGATGAAGGAGAAGAAGGGGAGGAGGAGGAGGAAGGGAAGGAGGAGGAGGGGGAGAGGAATAGAAAAGAAGAGGGATGGAAGAGGAGGAGGAGAGGGGTGGAGAAATAGAAGAAGGATGAATAAGGAAAAGAAGAAGGAGGAGAGGGGTAGAAAAGAAGAGGGATGGAGGAGGAAGAGGAGGAGACGACTATAGTATTTTTCAACCTTGACAACTTTAAGATGTGTGAGCTTCAAGTCCCAGCAGGTTGGCTGGGGTGATTCTGGGACTTGAAGTCCATCCATCTTCAAGTTGCCAGGGCTGAAAAGTAGTGATTTAAGACATAATTATGCTCTTTCCATAATAGACATTTCTCTGACTGCGGCATATTCTTTGACATTTTTTATCCTGTTCTCCTGCTTTTGAAGGCTGTTCCAGAATGCAAAGCAATCCCTTAATTACGGGGAGAGGCTGTGTTTCCTCGTAGCAATGTCACGGGTATAGAATTCGGGGAGGGAATTCATTTGATTTTTATTTTTGCTTAGAACAGCGCTGCCTCTTCTCCTCTACCAGTTCTTCTTTGCTATTTTGTTGTCTTTAATATCTCTTGATTACATCTTGTTATCATCTTGTCCTCATCTGCTTTGTAGCTTGTTGCATAAAACAGGCGCTAATCTCTCGGCAATTAGTTTCTTATTAAAGTCAATTGAGACTTCTACTAGAGAATGGGAGGTGGGTTTTGTGTGTGTGTGTGTGATTAAAGTTCCTGGGTGGCAGGAGAGCCAGCATGGTCCCCCTCCATCTCCTCTCCCCCCAATTGCCTTGTGCTCTTGTGAGATAAATGATGAAACTTGGACGTTTCAAGTGCTTTCTTTGTCCTCAAACACAGTATTTTGCAGTCAGAAGAAACAATGAAAACTCCGCAATCTCACCACCCTTGGACAGGCTCCAGTACAGTTTTAACTGAGAAACTGGGCGCATCCTAGACCAAGATGAATCCAGGGAATTCCTGGATGCTTGGCATTCAGATAAATGAGCCATCAATAGTCACATGGAGATAAAACCACCATTTAGACACCATTCAGGAAAGACAATTAACTGACATCAAACAATCAATTGAAATTGAAATTATCCGCTACTCTTGGACCAGCCAGAGACAATTGAAAAAAAATAAGCCCAAGAAGACTCAGCAACCTAGATAAGCGAGGATTGACACTAGACAAAGTTAAGAAGAAAACAATGTCACAATTAAGGAACTATCCAGGAAAAAACCAACACTTGACAGGGCAAACTACTGCATATAAATAAGGCTGTATGTAAATAACATGTCACACTCACTAGCCCTTATGATGTTACCTAGTTGGGTAATGAAATGTCTACAAGCAAAGACTCAAGTTCCGAGAGCATCCCATAGGAAACCGATGGCAAACCAAGAAAGTGAGTCAGTCAACTTAAGTGGCGATGAGCTACCGATTTCATATTTGCTTTCACACTCTGATCAAGTTACCTCTTTTTAAATGATTATCTGTATATTAACTCAGCTTTTGAAGCGGCAATCATATTCTTGAAATATGATTGAGCAATTCTGCCTGTGCACAATACAATAGACTGTGAACGGCAGAGGTATACTTAAGGGAGTGATGATATTACCATTATTATAGCTGGAACACTCTGAGTTTAAACAGCAAATTATTTGAGCAATCTAGAAAAATGATGCCCACCAATTCAGGCACAAATGTGTAAGCTAGTGAAATATGTGGGAAGGATCTATCGGTCTAAATCATGGAGATCAAATTATGTCCATAGAGGCTGCATAGAGTTGAATTTATCACATTACACCTTGCTTTATCTAGTTAGCTGGCTATTTCCTTAATCTGCATATTGCACTGTGGTTCTAATGGATTGTAGCCGTTTGGAAAGTTATTCTGAATATTAACTGTTTCTTGCCAACTACCAGCCAACAATGACGCCTGATTGACTCATTCGGGTCTCCTGAAAAGATTATGATTGTAGCTTCAGCCCCATTTTTAAAACGAACAGAAACCTCACTACCACCACAATTTGGGGGCAAAGATTCAATGGCACCCTTTTAGATTTTAAATAGGGTAAGGTAGCTGTGGTGGCTTGGGGGCTGACGCTGAGCTTGTCGATCAGAAAAGTCGGCAGTTCAGCGGTAGGGACCCCTTTCTAGGTAAAGTTAAAGGTTCCCCTCGCACACCTGTGCTAGTCGTTTCCGGCTCTAGGGGGTGGTGCTCATCTCCGTTACAAAGCCAAAGAGCCAGCACTGTCCGAAGACGTCTCCATGGTCATGTGGCCGGCATGACTAAAGGGGCACGGAATGCTGTTACCTTCCCACCAAAGTGGTCCCTATTTTTCTACTTGCATTTTTACGTGCTTTTAAACTGCTAGGTTGGCAAAAGCTGGGACAAATAATGGGAGCTCGCTCCATTATGCAGCTCTAGGGTTTCGAACCGCCGAACTGCCGACCTTTCTGATCGACAAGCTCAGCCTCTTAGCCACTGAGCCACTATCCATACCCTAAAGTCATTTTTGGAGACTCTACTCAAGGTGTCTTCTGATTCTGGAGTATCTCCAGAGCACAGGGTCCCATTACTATTGTTTCATTGTTCACTATTGTTTCAGTGTCAGAGGTGTTTACTCCGTCCTTTGGCCTTATGAATGTTCTTGAGACACTCTTATGTTGCAACGGACCTTCTGATCATCCAGATTTCTTTGGTTGTGCAGTTTTGCGCTGTCTATCTTTAGACGGGGCTTTTTTAGAAATAAATTTGCAAGATGCCCTGAAAAACATTTTTTTTTTTTAAATAAACAGTGTTGCTTTGAACTTGGGAAGATAGAAGCATCTATTAAAAGTGTGAAAGCAATTCACTGCCCACACGGCAAAGGAATAACTAAATATGTATAATTGGAAAAGAAGATAAAATTCTTAAAAAAAAATAAAATCCAAAATATGTTAGTTTGTTGATGCAGGGTTAAAGAACTCACAAGGTAAGTTGATAGCAAAATATTCTTAAAAGTATAAACTGCACAGTACTGTGTTATGAGCTTTATCCTCCATAGTTGAGATAATGTTTTTATTCCCATTAGCAAAACAGCATTCATAAATCAGGTCTGGTAAACAGTGATACTCTCAAACTCATCCCTCTTGATGCCTGTAGGGTGGTTTAGAATGGCCTGCTACATATTTGTTGCTCATGTACATTTTTTTAATATCATAAGAGTTTGGAAAGTTGCAAATACTGCGATAATTTGAAGGTTAGAACTCTGAAATTTTATTGTGCCGTCATAGTAAAAATCATCTTTCCACAGGGTGGTATAACTCACATATGTGGGTTAATGTCAGACATAAAAGACTCAGGCATTAAACTTCAATTAATCTGATTTATAGCCCGTGTCTATATACTACTGATCAGCATTAAATTGGTGCTAGGTAAAAGTCAAAAGGGCTGGACTTAGATTGTTTATGGTAACGTAGCAATGCTAGGCTGATTGCTCTCTTGACTCCACCACAAGGCTCTGCCTGTTTTTCTACAGCCAACCACAAAAACTGTTCTGATTTCAGTGAAAAGAAAGGTTGAAAATATTGATGGATTGATAGAAGATGCAAAATCAGAGTGGCGTGGTGGCCTAGAGGTGGAGCTCTCACCTCATAACCAGGAGGCTGTGAGTTCGATCCTAGGTAGAGGCAGATATTTCTTTCTCTCTGGGCACAATGAGAATATATCTGCTGAACAAATCTCCGCCCTGGTGACAGGAAGGGCATCCAGTCATTAAACGCTCTGCTAGTTCCATTCAGTTGCCCAAGATTCCAACCCTGCAAGGGATTATGGGGTTCTTAAATGATGATGATAATGGTGAATAGAAGATGCAAAATCAAACCCATGCCAATAGCGCATAACCCAACATATTTGTGGTTTATTAAATGAGTTTATACCTTAATGGTCTGTCAGAACCTAGCTAACAATAGCTGTGTAAATCTAGTCAAAGGATGAACTTAGTTTGTTAGGCAGAAGGTAACAAGGATGATTCATCCATGTTAGTAAATTCTGAAGCATGGTCTTGTCTAATGGTGTATCTTGAGTTTTCCCAAACAAGGGATGTCTAGATAAAACAGTCCACCATTCCAGAATTCTCAGCCAGCAAAACCAACACACAAATCAGGCACTATCGAGGAAATGTTGACAAACAAATTGATTGATCACCATTATGATAACGACGAGATAGCGAGAATTATGACTGCCCCCAATTTATTTCCTCCCAAAACAGTATTTCACAAGTCCTCCATGCTTTCCTCTTTTCAATTCCATTTTTCCCCAGGAATCAATAGTTTCCCTTACTTACAGCTTCAGATACTTTTTACAAAGGAAGCCGATAAACAAGGTTTGTCTCCAGAAATTATCTAGCTTAATAGGTGGATGAAGATTCAGTCATCCAGGCCAAAGGTGTCTGTAGGTTGAATTGTGACAACTGGACCAATCTGAGACATTTCGTTGCTCATCCAAGCACAGAGCAAAATGAGTTAGGCAGAGTTAGAAAGTTGTTGGAAAGTACCAACTCTTGCCAAACCAACTTTCAGGGGTTTCTATCCAAAATGGCTTGCAATATATATCAGTGAAGACTCAATCATCCAGGGCAAAGGTGTGAGGACCCAAAGGGGCACGGCAGAAAGGTAACACAGTCAGATAATCAATAAGAGTCCCTTTATTAGCTCCAACTTTGCCCCCAAACTCCTGGTTACCTTCTGGCTGGAGAAAAACTCTCCCAGGAACAGCCTTTGGCTGCAGAGAATCAAGTCCAAAACATGGTCAACACAAACTGTAACTTTAAATCCAACCAAGCCAAACTGAGGTAATCAATTTGGCAGGGCAGGAGCAAGAATTTCAGACATGAAGGCACAGCAAAACTCACATGGTTGGGAAGATGCCAAGGACACAGATAAGCAATGACAACACAGGATAAAGTCACATTTGCTCCCAGCAGCTGCCGCAGTCAGCATTCAGTTCTTATAAACTTTCATCCCAGGTGTAGCTAATGAAGGGAATCAGGGCCCTTTTCTCCCCCATAAGCCATGCAACCCAAGTTGCTCTCTTCTCCATTCCTCCCTGTGTGCCCTAGGATGAAGAGTGGGTGGGCCTGGGTCTTCATCTGAACTCCCTCTCCCTTGTTTCCTCTCTCTCCCCTGCTCTGCCCAGTCGGACTTTGACCTTCCCCAGCCTCCTCCACAGCCAATGGAGCCACACTTCTACTCCCTGTCAGCTGTTCGTCTTCCTCCTCGGATTCAGACTCTGACAGGGGCATGACAAAAGGTGTCTATAGGTAGAATTGTGGCAGCTGGACCAAACTTTGAGCAATGAAATGCCTCAGATTAACAACATTTGGCCCAGTTGCCCCAATTCAACCTATAGACATCTTGTCTAATCTAGGATAAAATAGGTAAGGCAGGAAGAGGATAATGTTAAAGCGAAGCCAATTAGTTTTGGTTACGTCATGTCTCTGCAAGACCACATTAGAGTGAAAACAATCGATAATGTTCATGCAGGATTAAATCCAATCATGTTCAATAAAGCAAAGTTTGTAAATACATTTTTCTCTTCCCAACCCTGAAGATATGATTAAGAATTATCAGTGATGTTTCAAAACAGTTGTCTAAACACGATATCGTGGTTTTTTTTCCCCCTGAGCATGTATGTGTACACATACTTATTCTCACTAGAACAGCTGGTGTTTATAATATCTAAAAATAATGAATATAATGTATGATCTCTGTTCCAAGAAATTAGATAGCAACCTTCGTTACAAAATCTGTTGAGCTTGGTGATTTTTGTCTTACTTAGTCTGTTTTGGCAGAATTTATGCCAGCACATGTTTCTCCCACACTGTCTCCATTAATGGATTTGGAATTCATTAGAGTCACAGATTAAATCAATTTATGATGTGCTAATATAACATATATATCATCTAATAAAGAAGATATGGTGTGTTTATGCCTATCCAGGAAATAAATGGATTTAGCTGCTTTAACCTCCCTCTTGAGTTCTCTGTCATTTAAGGTAGTTAGCCAACTCCATGGGATAATATTTCTAGCTGCGTTTTACTAATTTCTTGGTCATTTTGATATTTTTCTTTTCCTCGGCATGGACATTTCATTCAGACAGGAAAAGCTTCCCTCAAATTGTAAAGGGAAAACCAATAAAAGTTATGGTCTGGTTCCACATTGTGCTAAGCCACGTGATTTACTGGACAAGCCAGTGATGGCTGGAGGCCAGTGGTGGGATTCAAATTTTTTTTACTACCGGTTCTGTGGGCATGGTGACTGTGGTGTGGCTTGGTGGGCATGGCAGGGGAAGGATACTGCAAAATCCCCATTACCTCCCCGCCCCACTAACCTGCTTTCCAGCTCTGTTCTCCTGTGCAGGGCAACCAAAGAAGACCCAGCCAATCAGCTGGGACTCAATGGGAGGCAGAGAATAGATGGGGGCAGAGCCAGTAAGAGGTGGTATTTGCCAGTTCTCCAAACTACTCAAAATTTCCACTACCGGTTCTCCAGAACTGGTCAGAACTTGCTGAATACATCTCTGGCTGGGGCCATATAACATGTTAAATAAAAATTAAACAAGTCACAATGATGTTGGTGACTAATCCTAGAATAGAGTAGAGTAGAGTAGAGAGGAGTAGAGAAGAGTAGAGTAGAGTAGAGTAGAATATGAAATGAGGAATGAGGAATGAGGAATGAGGAGAAGAGAAGAGAAGAGAAGAGAAGAGAAGAGAAGAGAAGAGAAGAGAAGAGAA